GCTTCTTAAGCAATGAGCCTGCATCCCCATTCAAAGGGGGCTCAAAAGGTTTATCAGATTCAAGGCTTGCTGCACATTGTTTAATCCTATTTGTGTTTCAGGTATGCTTGACCCCCTTAAAATGAATAAGAAGGGCAAGTCACTGCACTGCCCCCAATGGCTTTTCTAGAAGTGGAACCTTCCAACTCCTCCGATGAAATTGGAAGTTGGCTGCTGACTCTTTTGGAACAGAGTTCAGCCTTGCACACAGCAATGCTGCCAGAAGATACTTAAAATTCAGGGCATGGTGCAGTAGCGTTGAATCAGGACAGTGACCTCAAGAGGTTCTGGGAAATACAGCATATAACAATAGGGAGTTTGGGCAGCTGCCTGGGAACCTGAAGCTGGGGAGAGTGTTGTGTGATGTCACTGCTGTTGCCCCAGGGGGACTTGGGTTGTGCAACATTCATGCAAAGGCTTACTCAAGCCAGTCTGGGACTGTATATTATTTTTGTATATAGACACTGTACAGGTAAGAACATGCTTATGGAAGATCTATAGACAGTAGAAAGAACTTGGATGGTGGATAGGCCTATCCTTGGGCAGAGAGTTGGAGTTGATTATCTTTCTCCTCGCTGCATAGGGGGATCCACATGGCAAAGGCTTCCCAAATCCTACTGGAAATATGGTAACCCCATTATTAGAAATATATTCCCTATCTGGCATTTTTTTAAAAAAGAAATATTAAATATTGCCGCTGATTGCGAGAGTACTTAGTTCAGATTGCTCGAAGGAAGAATTTGCATATATATTTTTAAAAAAATGCATTTAAGCTGCATTTTCTATGCAGTTTTCTGCTGCCCACCTCTGGTCTCTAGTTGGTACGAGGTAGATTCTGAAGCAGCGACCTCCCACATCTGGAAATGTGGATCACCTTATTTCCTACCCAACCTCTTAGAAAAAAAAGTAGGCAGCATAATCAGGAAGGGCTTTTGGGGAGCAGTGAGGAATTTTTTCTGTGTGTGTGTGTGTGTGTGCTTGTTTGCTTTGTGCCTGTGGAGTCTTTGGCAGTAGGAAAGAGTAAACACTGGCATGCATTCTCTAGTCCATTCCTAATTTTGCAGCAATCACATCCCTTTACTAAAATGATGACTATTAAACATTCGAGTTGTATTTCTCTATTTTATTTTCCTTTTGCTGATTTTTTAAAAAAAGTTTTCCCCAGAAAAGAAAAAGAAGGGGGGGGGGGAGTTCCTGGCATTTCCCACAAATAACAGTAAAGTATGAAATTGATTCCTCCTATTTTCTTCTTTATGATCTCTGTCATACTGCTAGGATCTTGAGGATGTGCACCATCTACCTTGGAAATATATATTTTTTTTCATATCATAAGGTCATATAATAATTTTCATACTGTTCTTTCTTCCAAGGAAGTTGGGGTGTGGTATGCATGGTTCTCCCTCCCAGCCTTACAACAGTCCTGTAAGGTAGGTGATGCTGAGTGACTGGCCCATGGTCCCCTAGGAAGTTTCATGTCAAAATGGGGATCTGAACCCGGTGTCAATCAAATCCTTGCCCGACAGTGTAACCACTACAAATACCAGTTGAGCAGTGAACTGAAATTGGTTTCTAGATATGTCCCCTTCTGCTCCCTGTACACACAAGAAGCTTCTGCGAGATTTCAGAGACTGTGCAAAGGAATCCCTCAACACGGCATGCCTTTGTTACTCCTGTGCTCATGGATTGACCTCCTCCCACTACCTGTAGGTGGATCTTCTCATCTAGCGTGGTATGGAGAATAGAAGAAAGAATGGTGAGCACAGTGATGCCTACAGATTCATAGGCTAGAGAAACTGTAAGAAAGACATAACCAATCTTGACAGTTGGGCCATTCTGATGGTACCAACCTCTGCTGCATAAATTTGTATTTATAAAATAACAAGGGACCTGCTACTAACTTGCGGGGGAGCTAGCCCATTCCCCCCACCTTTGTGTCCTCCCCTCTCCTGCATCTCTCACACTCTCCCTTCTGCCACCCCTTTTCTTACTCTCTCCTCCATGCATGTCACTTCTCTCTTTCTGCCCCCTCATCACTCTTTGTTTTTCTGCCTTTCCACCGCATCACTTTTTCTTCTTCTGCCCCCCACCCCATCTCACAGTCTCCTTCTGCTCCCATCACTCTCCCAATCTCCTGCCTGCTCCCTCTAAAAAAACACATTGGCGGTGGTGGTGCTCTCAGCTGCCCACCTGCTCCCCCCCCCCCGCACACCAGCAGCAGTGGCCGCAGCAGTTCTCCAGGAATCACAACAGAAATCAGTTTCTCTTAGGGTTGCCAGCTCCAGGTTGGGGAATTCCTGGATATTTGGGGGTGCAACCTTGGGACAGTGAGGCTTGGGGAGGGAAGCAGCCTCAGCAGACGCCACCCTCTAAAGCAGCCACAGACGCCACCCTCTAAAGCAGCCATTTTATCCAGGGCAACTGATATCGGTCACCTCAAGAGCAGTTGTAATTCCAGGCAATCTCCAGCCCTTACAGTAGTTCCCATGGAGGAAATGGCTGGTTTGGAAGGTGAAGTTTATGGCGTTATAGCAGTCTGGTGTCCCCTCCCCTCCTCAAAACCCACCCTCCTCAGGTTCCAACCCTCAAATGTCCAAAAAATTTTCCAACCTGGAGTTGGCAACCCTATCTCCTTCCCACCCAAAAGCCAAGAGCCTTTATCTGCCCCCGTGTCTTCAGCTTTCCATCTCCACCCCCCTCCCCCACAGCCTCTACCTAGGAAAATTAGTCTTTCTCCACAGTAGGGACCAAAACAGCTTACATAATTATCTCCTATTTATCTGCACAACAACCCTGTGAAGTATGTTAGGCTGAAAGTATGTGACCAGCTCAAAATCACCCAGTGAGCTTCCACAGCAAGATGGGGATCTGAACCTGGGTCTCACAGACCCTGCTCTTAACTGCTGCACCACAGTGGCTTTCATAGGGTGGCTGCTATTGAACAGCAGCAAGCAGCCAGGCCTAGTTGAGTCATGCAAGTCAGGTTGTACCAAGTCAACCACAGCATGCTGTCATGCCTAAGGTTGCCAGCCTCCAGGTGGGAACTGGAGATCCCCAGAATTACAACTGAACCCTAGACAACAGAGATCTGTCTCCCTGGAGAAAATGGCTGCTTTGGAGTGTGCACTCTGGCATTATATCCACCTGAGGCCTCTCCCTTCCATAAACCCAGCTCCCTGCAGACAACCACAAAATCTCTAGGAATTTCCCAGCCTGGAGCCAGCAACCCTAATGCCTGGCCCCAATGATCCATCCCTCAAAGGTCAAAATAGGCCTGAAAAGGGCCATGTCCCCTTCCTCTGCCTTCTACTGACAGAACCAAGCTTGGAATACTATGGTTGCCTACCAACAGCTACTGAGGGAATCTGTTTTTTTAAAGCTACAGGTGCTCCTTTTATCATTTTTGGCTTTTGAAAGCTGCCCAGTGGTTGATTTTTTTAAAGATTTCACATTTTTCGGCAAACCTAGGGCCCTTTTCAGGTTTGTAGAAAGATTTGTCTTGCTCCAGTCACTGGATTTAAGGATCCAAATATATCCCGACTTTGCCATTAGAATATAAGATTTAGGAGACAGAGTTTTAGTGTCACATAGAATCACGACTCCAAAATTTACTTCCTATGAAAACTATTATGTATGAAATATATGCAGTAAAGTTTTCTGTGGGTTGTGCTGAGTAATAGAAAGTCTTTTCTCCCTTCTAGGGATATGCATGTGGGGGGAGGGGACGGTGCAGTGATTAAAAAAATATTGTTGCAAAACTGTCCATGATAACGAGAAGATAAAGTGAACTGATGTAGTGGTTAAATGGTGAGATGTGATCCAGAGTTCCCAGTTCAGATCTTAACTCCTTCGATCATGAGTACACTTGGGGGCCTTACCGGTGATGTAATGATAAGGAAACATTGGGGAATTTCAGACAGGTGATAGATTCCGGAAGGGAACCGGTTCTCAAACGGGTTCTGGTCTGTCATTTCAGACAGAACCCGTTTGAGAACCGGTTCCCTTCTGGAATCTATTTGCCATTTCATACACAAACGCTTCAGTCCCGTTTAGGAACCGGGACTGAAGCGTTTTACCTGTCATCCACTTCCAAGTGGTCTTCAGTGCCCTCTCCCAGTTCCGATACGCTTTTTCCCTGCCTTTTTTCGCCCGCGCGGGCGATCTCCGGCTGTGGGGTTTTTTTTGAACGTTTGATTTATAGTGTTATAGCGCTATAGCGCTTGTGTTATACTGCTATAGCGCTATAAATTGAACTTGTTTTAAAAAATTGATCACCCGCGCGGAAGGAAAACGGCGGGAAAACAAAGCGGTGCAAGTCTGAAATGCCAAACCGCTTCTGATCCGGCTCATTTCCGGTAGGGGCAAGCCCTGTGTGAAATGGCAGCCCTGTACCGGTTCACTTCAAAATGGATGATTGCCGGCTTGAAACCGGGTGAAACTGGGTAATGTGAAATTCCCCATTGTCTCCAAAGACATGCAGGGCACTGATCCAATCCTAATCCATAACCACAAGCAGGATTTCTAGGGCACTTAACAGAACTCTGAGGCAAGCTTGAAGCATGGGATCTTGCTAGCCACAAAACACTTGTGGACACTAAGATTATGTTAGCAAGCAGGAAACTGGTACCTAGCTGTCATTCCTAAGAAAGCCTGAACATTAAAAATTAAGGAAGTAGTTTTAAAATGGGGGGGGCCTGAGATTTAAACAATAGCAGTTTAGTCATGTCTTTTAGTTATCACAGCAAACTTTTCTGAGCAAATGGGGGGGAAATGGAGGCATGATCAAATGTACTTTACTTGAGATACGGAAATAGTGGTCTTGATCCTGACTCCTACTCCATGGAGAGGCCTAAGTAGGAAGCTTTATGTGAATGGAGCCTTAACAAGAACCTAAACAGTAGAATCCCGGGTAGAATCCCAGAGATCAATGCCTGCCAGATAGATTGGGTCACCTGCTACATAAGGAGGCTGATTCTTCCAAGAGACTGACAGCTGCAGTATGTAGTGAAAGGATCCAAAGCATTTACATAGTGATTTTCCTAAGTGCTTGAAGCAGATCACATACGTTGGGACTATCCATATTTAACTGATTTATGTTATTTTCTGTCCACCTTTCTCACTGAGACTCTAGGCAGATTACACAGTCCAAGTCAACTACAATCAACAGGATGGGGCATCCACTGAACAGAGTGATAGGATTTGGTTTGCCAAAATCTGAAAGCAAGCACAAACCTGAATACAGCGCTGAAACAGTGATGAAGCAAAGCACAAACATTTAAATATGACATGCTGTATGAGGCTATTATACACTGCTGAAAGAATGTTTTTTAACAGTTGGCTGGGAACATAATTGAAATTGTGGTCCTACATAGCATTTAAAATAATTTTTTATTCCCCCTAAAAATGCACACCCATAGATTAGATCCTAGTCTTAAGTAAATACTATTTATATCCCACAAGCTCAGAGGAATCAACAGCAACAAAAACAAGATGAAGTGTAAACATCACAGAAAATAAAAACACAAACCTACAGATTCAACTCATTATAAATCAACAGTAAAATCACCAGCATCGGCTTCATCAATAATATAACAGATAGATCACGATTCTAATTACTGATAATGTACCAATTCAACCATATCAACAAAAAGGTTTCCAGAATAACCAGGTTTTACAAGCCCTTTCAGAAACGAGATCTTACAGAGGCCATTCCATGGTAATAGAGCAGTCACTGAAAGGGCCCTGTTTCTCACCGAGACCTACTAGCCTACCTGTGATGAAGATTGGTGCGTGGACGTGAGTGCACATGAGTTGTGGTTCTTTAGGTTAGTGGGCCCCCAGTCATGAATGGCTTTAAAAATAATAACTAATACCTTAAATTCCCACAAACCAGGTCACCAAGGGTTGGGGAAACAGCACAGAAAATGCTGGACTGCCAACAGTGTCATCTGGATTCTGTTAAAACTCCGTGATTAAGTAATGGCAATTCTGTACTAAATGGCTATTTGTGGAAACGACCAATACCTCAGTAATATGGTAGGAAGGAACAGAGTAGCAGTTCAGGCGGCACTTTTAGCTTCAGGCCGTAACCTGTGGGGATGATAGTATTGCAATAAAGTGTGAGTACAGAGATGGGAAAAGGAGGTTGGCCTGGAGGAGGAGTGACATCTGAAAGCCTGAGGGCCTGTGTGTGAGAAGAAGTTCTGTGACAGGCCTGGATTTCCAGAGCCAGTTGACTTATTTCTGATTAATACTTTTCTTCTTCTTACAAACCACTGCTTGACTTTTCTTGAGACATAATCTGCCTGGCTGAACTGCCAAAGTAGGCCACAAAGCCTCATTACATTGCTTTCAGATTGCTGCAAGGATTACAAGAAGTTAATTCTTCTCTGAACAGGTGAACAGAGTGGCACAGAGTATTAATTATTATTTATGATTATATTATAAATCCTGTCACCATTTTGCAGACAGAGGGCTGAAACTCATAAGAGGAACATTGGCCTAAACCCAACGGATTCTTCTGTTTTATAGCGCACCTTCTTAATCGGCAGCCTGCAGAAGGGTCTTCGGTCTGGCCTGGAGCGAGGCAGCAGCCAGGCTTCACCCCCCTGAGCAGTCCCCTGAGCAGTGAGGGGAAGGCGGGCGGGGGGCCCCTAGAGGGTGTGTGTGTGTTTGTGGGGGGGGGGGGTAACCCTTGGGACCTGTTTTCAAGGCCAGCCCTGAAGCACGAAGAGGAAGTAGGGTGCCCGTGTACCGCGCTTTCCTGCCCCCGCAGGGTACCCCTAACTCACTTCCCTCCTCCTTCCCTCCTCTCTGCAAGACTTGCAAGCCGCCCGCTCGGCCCCCGCCACGTGCGGCGCGAGGAGGCCCCTGGCTGGCTCGGGACGGGGCAGGGCTGCGGGCTGCCTGTGGGATTGGCCGCGCCTGAGGCCGGCGGGCGGGCTGGAGGCAGGGCTGTCCCCGCGCCCACCCCGCCCTGCCGGGAGTGCGGCGTACTTGGGGAGGAGGAGGGCTGGAGGAGCAAGGCACTACGGGCTTCCGCGAGCGCAGAGGTGAGTGAGAGGAAGGGCTGGCAGCCCCGGGCACTGCCTTCGGCTCCCTTGCCTGCGGGAGGGAGGAGGGAGAGGCCAGATTGCCCGCGGTCTTGAGGCGCCTGCGGAACAACTTGTTTACTTAGCAGCTGGGCCGGGACAGGGAAGGGAGGAAAAGCAGGCTGGCTGCGGTAGAGAAGGGAGGGAAACCCTCTGCCAAGGGAAGGAGAAGGACTGCCCTGCAGTGGCCCTGCGCAGGAGACTTCACCACTGACAGTCACAGCTGAGGAACGCGGGAGCCACGGGCTCCTGCCCACTCTCTCCGCTGACACACCCAGTCGTATACTTGGCTGTGCCTCTTTCATTCCCCCCTCCCGCTTCGCTTTCTGAGCTGCCCGTTCCCATGCCATCTTCCCCCTTTCCCCAAAACTGCTTTTTTCCCTTTCCTGAATGTTGTTTACTACCCAGGACCTCTCCCTCTATTTATGCGTCTACCTCCAGTTCTCCACGACAGATATCCTTAAACTATCTCCCAGCCTTCTGCATCTTCATTTCTAAATCCACATAGTTTCCTTTTCCAAAAGTTTCTTTCCCAATCCCTGGCTCCTTATAAGCTTTGATGTTCTCCTTCCTGCTTATGCTTCCTGTAACTTTATAGAAGTTAATAGCCCACAGTTACTTTTACTAGCCTACTTGCGCACATGTACCTGTTTTATTCACTGGGGGCAGTTTTTATTAACCATCTTTGTCTGGTTGCATACTCCCAATTGGTGAGTTGCTAGTTTTTTCCCCCTTTAATGCATCCTGCCCATTATTTCCATCAGTTCCATTCCTACTATATACCTCCCTTCCACTCCAGTCACTGCAATGATTTTCTAAAAGGGACAGAATGGATTTCTCTGTATTTTTTTTTCAGAAGCGCACACTGACTTTAACATTCCACCCCCCAAGTGTGTGTTCAACCCACCTGTTAGGCTTATGCTTCCAGCAATACATGTCACTTATAAAGGTAAAGGATCTTTGACGTGGTCTCTGCGCTTCACACCCATGGGATCTAGTACGCACGCGCTGGATCAATCGGTGCTGTAGCAAGCTCTTTTAACGGATTTTCACGTCCAGTCCCTCGGGCATGCGCAGGAACCCCACCGCGCATGCCCAGAGGGGTGGGCGCGGACATCCCGCCAGTTCCTTTCTTACTGCCGCGTTGAGTAGACCTCTTCTTCGTCGGTCCGATCGGTTCGCTGTTAGCTTTCGCCTCACAGCTCTTAGGAATTATTTCCAAACTTTCTTTTACTTTAATTTTTGGTTGTTTGTTCTTCAAAAACAGTTTTAAAAAATTGTTTTCTGCTGAGGGGGAGTTTTCCTCATGCCTTCAGGCTACCCCCCCCCCAAATGTTCCCTCTTCTTCTTCACTTCTTTTATGGAGAAGAAGGGAGGATTTTTCAACAGGTGCAAGGGTTGTGGCAGCAAACTTGCTTCTCCTGACCGTCATACCCTCTGCATTTTTTGCTTCGGAGAGTCTCACCAGCCAGAATCCTGTCGTCACTGTGCGCGTTTCTTCAATCAAACGCGAAAAAACCGTGCTGCACGCCTTAAAGTGGCGCTGCTTGAATCGGCCCTTGCTCTTGCCTCAGCAATGGAGGAGAGACCGTCTGCATCGACAGCTCCGACATCGAAGGCTTAATCGTCCGCTTCCACGCCAGTCAAAAAGAAGGCTAAGGCAAGTAAGGATCATATGTCCGCGAAGAAGGGCACCTCCAAGTCCCTGAAGGCAGCGAACAAGGGGAAGGAAGCTGTGTTTGCACTGGTTGATGCCCCTAAAGTGCCTCCCGCTCCAACGGCAGTATCGATATCAGAGGCCCAAGTCCCTCCACCGATACCGACCATCCATGTCTTGGACTCCCCTGTCCACCAAACGGAGCGTCCTTACTCCGACATCGAAACGGTAGAGCTCCTAAGTCATCAAATGGATGCAGAGCCTTCTCCGTTTCCTTCCCCTTCGTTGACATCAACGGTATCGGAAGCT